ACTGAACCCAGTTCCCCTGGCCAGAACAGATGCGCCCAATCCAGCCAATTAAAGAGGCTAAACTACGCCTGGGCCTATCAAGGGCTGCTAGTGGTAGCTCGGGCAGATGGACCGAGACAGCTGCGCCTTGGGGAAGGAAATCCACACCAGAGTGGAGCTAACTCCTGTGGTGGGTCCCCAGAGCCAGGGGCTCATGGAAGCAGCCCTGGGGCTGTTGCTCCAGCAAAACTGACTGAGACTGGGAAACTGCCAGGAGCAAGACAGCCTGAGGCTAAAATAAGTTAAAAGGCTGTTTTCTGGTTGTTCGCTAACCTCTGTTAAGGAAATAACCCCCCTTGAAAACTCTGGGCCTGGCAGCGTGTGCTCTGGGGCTGGCCCGAAGGGCTGGCCCAGGGACAGATGGGCACCTAACACCACCAGTGAGCACAGAAGGTTCCTGGGGCCAGTCACATCTTCACCCCATCCCGCTCCATCATGTGCTTTGCATAGGATACATAGTGAAGAAATCTTTTAAGACAGGGTGGGGTTTATTAGGACTATTTTTTGTATCCTTCCACTTGCCACAGTACCCGGGGTCCAGCTGGGTAAGGTCTAGAGGGAGGGGATAACAAACCAATACATTTTAGAAGTCTCTAAACTGAACCCCTCTCCTACACAATCGCATCACAATGATTTTAAATTCTGGTATCTCGGGACCTTCCAGGGGCTCAAAGCAAGGACTGTGCGTCCTGCTGGAAACTGGGGAATTTACTCCTATCCCCCGGGGGGTCCCTTTGTCTAGCTTACCTGAGAAGTCCCCCAGCTCCCCCAAACCTGTGCCTTGGCTCGCCAGCAGCAATGCTTGTTTGCAGGGCTCCGGAGGGCTGCAGGGCTGGAAGAGCTGGTAGCTGAAAATGGGGGCTGGGAGGAAGAGGCTGCAGACAGGAGCGGATGCGAGCTGGGCCGAGAAAGCAGGGCTGTAGAAGTGAGATGCAGCCGGGAGCGAGGACAGCATGTATTCTGAGCCGAACATCCTCCACTAGGGACCCGAGCAGAGCTGCTGCACCTGGGTGGAAAGGAGACAGGTGGAGGATTCCTGACCTTCTGGCCCATGAGAATCCCACTCATCCAGCAGCGGGGAAGGGAAATGTGAAAGAGCTGCAGTCCAGATTAACCAGGGAGACACTGTTCCAGTAGCCAGATGCTGCAGAGAAAGGAGTGAGAAGCCCCAAACAAAGACACTCTGGAATGATTTGCTCATGGGGAATGTATCTCCCTGACCTCCATCAGCTAGAGGTGGGTCATGCTCTGAAGCGGAGGGGGTCTTGTGGGGGGGGGGGGGGGTTGGATAATGGGGAGAGCTGGCTTAGAAGCCTGAAGACCACAGGCTTTCTTGCTCCTGAAGGAGACTTCAGAGCCTGCTGTCTGATTTCCCACTCCCCCACGCAAGAGCACCAGCCACCTTCAGCAGGGCCGGCAGGCTGTGCAGGATTACAGCACCCAGGACTTGAATGAAGGATTGAGATTGCGGCATATGGCTCATACTGACGTCCTGGTGAGCTGGCTGGCTCTGCTGGGGAAGCCATAGCTGGCTCTTGATAGTTGGGACAACCAGACTTCAAAGGCTGATGGTCAGATGCAGCCACAATGATCCAGACCTTGCTCACCTGAAACTCCTGTGGAGGAAGCGTAATCCTGTTCAGCTCACGGCTGCCAGAGAATCATGGCTGCACTACACCCTGCTTGTTTGTCGGCTCGGAGGAGACGTCAAAATAGACTCATGATACTGCAGTATTCAGGGCCCAGCCAAAGCCAGTACACATGGAATATTAAAGCGGAAGAGAGATCTCTTCAACCTCAGAGAACTTCTGGGGTCAATTCAAGATTTCTAGCAGGGAGAGACGGACAGGCCAGTTCTCTCTCCAAACCACCTTGCCCATCCCTAAAGAAAACCATGCCAATTTTTGTTTGTTACTTACATAGCTCCTACAGTGGGCTAGGTGACTACAAATAGTCACTCAATAGTTTACACTGTGACCACAAAGGAGCCCAAACTCCACCCTCCAGCAACCCCAAACACATGGAATTCAGGGAGGATAAGTTACCAGCTGAGAAGAGGAGGGGGGAGAGAGAAAGAGACAAATGAGTTCGTCTGCACAGATGGGGAAAGGAAATGCCCCTCCCCAAGGCTAATTTCACCCCTTCATTCCTCAGCATTAAGAGCACATTGATAGTCCTGAACATTTACTATGCTGAGGAGAGTAAAGTCCCACTTCAGAACGAATAGGTTTCCCTCTCCCCTTAGCACTGCACAGAACACCCCCTTTTTAAGAGACTACATCAGCCCCAAAGGAGGGAACAACCATTAGGAACATGGGATTCTTGACACAATTTGTACCAGACTCTGCTCCAGACGGGTCCGAAGTCACAGAAGCTGTAGAAGAAGATGCATTTCAATGGGCAGAACATTGTGAACACTGGGAATGCTCCCTCTCCCCCCCACCCCAGCATCACCCCCATTCTCGGAGCACCTTTTCCCCACTGAAATCCTTCCCATCTTACCTGCACGGAGTGATTCAGAGATCTGCAGAGATGGCAGAGTCTTGGACAGGTGAGTTCAGGTGTACTGGAGGATTTGAGCGGTCTCTGTTAATCCAGGTATGTCCAGGAACAAAGTGGAGCCTGGTTCTCGCACTGCCCTCTTTCCCGCACCAAAAACTAATGTGAGATTCCAATTAAATTACTGTGGTGGTCGGGGAGGGGTCTCTGCTGACCCAGACGCGTCCAGTGAAACCTAGAGCTGGTCTGGACTTTCCCAGGTGTGTCCATGTAGGAGGCGAACTGCAGACAGAGTCTCTGATCACCCACTTGTCTCCAGCAGGTGTGAAATAAAGAAACTTCTTACCTGAAGCCTCTTTTCCAAGGCCCTCCTTTCCCCTCCCCCATTCAGACACTAAATTAACTTCTTCACTTCAAAGAAACTCTTCAATCAATTAGAGGGGAGCGTGAGCCGGGATTGAATTTCCAAGTAAATATTCCCACTAATGGCTCCCTAGCAGTGACCCGGAAAAGCTGTCTCACCTGCCAGAGGAGTTCACAGAGCTCTCTCTAAACAGGAGACAGGAAGAACGGCCACCAAGATTCCAGCTGAGCCAAATGAGACGGCTGAAGCTACCTCCACTTTACATGGTGTCATGTTCACTATGGAGGGAGATCACCAAGCTTTCCAGTCAAGAAGAGATTCTCTTGTCTCCATCGCTGTCCCTCCTTTTGCACAGATTACTCTACATTTCTCCGTTGGGAACATGGAGCAAGGGAATGAAATCCCACAAAGCCAGGATAGTCTGCCTTCCAGAATTACCCCATGCCTAAAATGACTGGGCATTTCTCCTACTGTTGATTTCCAGTTGGATTTTGCTCAGCTTCTCCAACAGCTACGGTATTAATTTTGCTCTTGTGGATTTGCAGGAAGAATTAAAAAAGCAACTAACACCAGTGTGTCCAACAAGAAAGAACTATTAGTGACTAGAAATGAAGACAAGAGACAGCGGACTCCAGAGCTCATTGGAGCAAGGAGAGAAGAAACTCAGGAGTATGAATAGAGGACCGAGAGCATGGTTGGCTAGAGGAACCAGAAGCTGAGAACAGAGGTCACTGGATTACAGAGGCAAAGGCCTGGGAGCAGTTAGAGGCCAGGGCGTGGGTGCACCTACAGCCCCTGAGGTGTTTGAGACTAGAGATGGGAGACCAAAAGGCAGTAGAGAATGTGGTTTAGGCTGGCTAGGGCCTAAGACCCAGATGCAGCCCAAGTCTATGGGGCAGACACATCTGGAGACAAAGGATTGGGAATGTGACCAGGAAAACAAAGCCTGTGGAAATGCTTCAAAATGCTGGGATGGCTATAGCTAAGGAATAGTGTCTTGAGCCTGAGGAACTAGGTCTTTGCACCTTAGGGAGCACAGGAGAGCCTTGGGGGCTGTCTGGTATCAATCTTCACGCTGCTATGATGACGTGCCATAGCTACCTGGACTTCTGGGGCTCCCAGTGTTCTAGAGAGGGCTGGGTCCAGGGGCCGGCAGTTCAGGTTTGATTGATTATCATACAAAGAATTGCCCCTTCCTTTTATGGCGAGGGCTGTTCTCAGGGAAAGATGAGGCTCTGCGGTGACTCAGGCTTATATCTCTCAGCTGGCTCCGCTGAGCTAGAGAGTCTCTCCAGAACTGAACACGGGCCTCAGAGCCAGCAAGCAGCTTGAGAGCCTTTCCCCAGAGAGTCCCCTAGTCACGGGGAAGCACAAGGGTCTGTCTGTCTCTTGTAGCTGTCCCTTTCTGAACTGCCACGCCACCCCACCTCCCTTCAGGGTCCCTTCCTGCCAGGCTTTGAATGTGCTTGGGTCACTTCCCTGGAGCTCGGAGAGTGCCCTCGCGCTGGGGCAGAGTTTGAACTGTAACCACATCCCAAGCGGCACACAGCTGAGAGCAACTAATTCAATTACTTCCATTTACCAAATTGCTGCCTCCCCTCCCCTCCCCAGCATGGAACACTGCTGACAGACGGATGGCCTTTCTCTGTCTTGCTAACTCCAGGCCACCTCAGAGCAGTACAAGACAGTACCTGCTTCGAGCACCTTCCTCCTCCCCCCATTCCAGTCCAGTTGCCAAGGAACGAATGACAGCCCTCAGCTGACCAAAGGAAGGTGGTCACTTGCCCACTCTGAGCACAGCTGCAGGGCTTCAAACATGCTAGGTGCTAAACAGCCAGGGAACAATTGATCCACCCCATCCGACTAGAGGAAATGTGTGTGGTGGCCTGAGACGTTGGCACAAGCCAGGTTGTTAATGCAAGAACTCTCAATTACAGAGATCTCCCCTCCCCATCTCTTGGCCCATTCCCCCGGTTGTTCACCCCACTTGGCTCCCCCACATCTTCCACTGTATTCAGAGCAACATCTGTTTTCCCGGACACCATAGGCACATAGTTGTGCTATCAGCCTCCCAGTATGTCTAAACAATCCACTTCTGGCCATGGGGTGATTAATGTTGTACCACATACAGGCTTGGGGAGGGGAGTGAAGGTTGGAGACCATTCCTGGACTAATTAGTCCATAGAATAGTCTCCCAAGGGAAGCATTGGGAGCTTCTTCATCTGGGAGGTTTCCAAGCAGAGAATGAACTTGGGCATGTTCTGTAGCAAAGGGTCCTGCAGCAGCAGGAGGAGGAGGGGCCAGGTGCCCTAGTGGATTGTTGCCATTTCCCATGGCTAGGAGGTGGAGAACTTTGAGATTTCACTGATAAAATCAGAACAATGGATGATTTCTTCTTCCCTTCTATGGGCAAATCCCAGAAGCCAGTGCAGCCTGGAGAAGGGAGGAGCTGTAACAGCGCTCCAATGCAGGGAATGCATACTATATTCTCTGCAGCCACTAGGTCAGGCCACTGGACTGATTGCAGGTTAGCTCCTTGTTCCCCCTCACGAGCCTTCTCTCTGCTAGGACAGGTGCCTTCTTCAGGCAGGATGGGATCCCAGCTCTAGCAGAAACAAACCCTGAATGCAGAAGGCAAAGCAAAGGCCAGATAGGTGTGAGAGAACACCAAAGAGCAGAAAGTAACCGCCTCCCAAAGCGGTGGCCCTGAATGACATGGATACAAGTGGGTGGAAGAGACAAGCTTTTGAGCTTTGGTCTCTTCCACCACCAGAAGTTGGGCCAACAGAAGATATAACTTCACCCAGCTGGTCTCCTCTCATGTCCTGGGACCAACATGGCTACAACCACACTGCAATGGATGTAAATGCTGAGCATGCACCATACTGCGACACCCTAACTCCACATGGGTGCTTTCAGTCATCTGTAAGCACAGGGAAGGTGCAGAGAAAGCTCTGCTTTGAAGCCAGTAAATCTTGAAAGCTTGAGGGATCACACTCCACTCATTGGGCTTTGGAACCGGTTGGAGGGCAGTAACTGGGGCACAGGCCTGTATGGATGCTCAGTCACCAGCACAGGCTGAAGTAACACTATCCAGGGCAATGCCTGAATGATTAGCCCTGGATTTTGTTTGGATCCTAGTATGGGCACTAACATCTCACTCTGAAGCTGCAGTGGGAGTGAACGATCTAATAAAAACTACTGTTAGTTTTCTCGAGAGAGAAATCATCACTGTCATGGGAAGCCTTTGCTGCAGCCGCCTGCTGTTTGGAGGAGGATTTGTAACCCCGTCATTGCTCCAACGGTGAAGGAGCGATACCTGGTCTCCTTGAGGAGGAATCTGCCTTTCTTTGAAAGGACACAGGCTGAAAGCTGAGCTGGGCAACAGGGAGTCC